AATATAAAAAAGAACTTTCAGACAATATTTTAACGATTAGTTATATCCTTGTTCCTCACATTCACTAACATTAAATTTTGACCTAGTAAGAAAAAAAGACAAGATCGTTGTATTATGCGTTTGATCAATCGGTTCCAATGGTAATTACAAAATTATTCAAAAATGTTAAACGTTACTTCATTACCAGATTAGTAAATATGATATAATTTTAATATATTATATAAATAAAGTTTAAATATTAAAAATTACTAATATTATCGTCAATTTATAGAATGTGTAGTATATATTATGTATTACGTTTTATATATATACACATAATAGTTATCTTAGAATATGTTATATAATTTCTTTGAATATCCCTTTTAACATGTTTATTGTCCACTTCAATTATTTTATATCTATCATTATATTATTAAATACTTGCTCGTTACTCAGGTACTGGCCAATCATGTTTACTCATTAAGATACCTCTAGGTACGTAGTATTTTATATTTCACCCTGTACTTTATCTAAAAAACTCTTATTATTCATTTAAAAGTAAAATATTGTTTGACTGTTCAACATCTAAGACGCCATAAACGCGTGCATTATTATTTATTTATTTCACATTTTATATTATTTAATCAGCTGAATGAAGATTCCAAAATTATTCAAATGCGTTATTAAAAAATCCTCTCTGAATAATTGTAATATGAAAGAAGTATACTCATTAAAAAGACCTCGCATCAAAACATAATGTATCTGTATATTGGAATTATTTTAACTATGGGCTAATTTACCACCAGTTAAGTTGCATATACAACCGGAATATTTTTTAGGTAACCGGGTACGGATGGTTTTAATTATGACATAAATAATAGAAATAGAGGAATTTTAATTTATAAATACATATTTATTATTACATCATACTTATAGTAAATAATGCATTTTCCTAAGTTTTGAAAGGTTTTGATTGCTCATTGCAATCATGGGCTATGGTATCGGACAGTAATATAAAATGTTATACCTTAAAAATAATGTTGGTACGGGCCATAGTCCAGAGCTTGCGCTAAGAAAATTTTAGAACTGCCCAACATTTTAATATTTTTGTAGATGCAGATTAAGTAAATTTGTCGCTCGCTAAATTCGCTTAATTACCACTATTTACCAAACTATATATTGACCACACATGTAAACACTTTATACATTACTTTATTTATTATAATTTATTAATAATAATAACAAATTAAAATTTTTTTTTTTTTTTATCTTCAGTGTCTTCGCCACTATCGTCACTATTGATAATTTTGTTTTTACCAGATGCTTCAAAGAAAACTCCACTAAAATAACTTTGTTCCTTTCCTTTTCTTCTTTTGAGGACTCGATGTTTCTTTTTAGACATCCAATGGTAAACTGTGTCCCTAGGATCCCAACCGTATAATGGTGGCATATTATAATTTATATATAAGCTCAAGTTTTCTGTCTCAATATTCATAGTTGAGCGTAATGGTGATTTTAATAAGTTGCTGGCACTTATCAAACGTTCAACATCAGCACTATGAGGTTTAGCAGCTGCCACTCTTGCCAACATTGTACAAACATTTGGAAAATATTTTGAGCCACATAATGTTTTTACTAATTTAATAAGGTTAATTTTTCGTAATTCAGATATATTTTCCATTGATATCAATTCATCATACTCCAATGAAAATTCTTTTAAATCTATGTCTGCGCCAATTAAATTATGAATATCTTTGATGCATGCTACAGAAGATAGTACAACAAATGGTTTTATAATTGACAGTAAATTTTTATCAATAGAAAATCTTTGTTTTAAAAATTCTTGAAGAGAACATACAATTTCTTGTTTAACTGCTGCAAGACATCTATTTTGTGTAACAAACTTATGATGGGATTTATGACGTGGAATTTCTATACTTTTTATAGTTATTGAATTTAATGTAAGTGAACCATCTTTATTGATAACTACTTGTTTGTCTAAAGCCTCAACCCAACCTCCTATAAGTGGGGTAGACTTTAACATTTCAATTTTATTAATGATGTACATAGTTTTTTCATCCATTGAAATAACATTCAAATCATCAGATTGCAATTGTTGTTGATACCTTGAAAAAATGTATAAAACATCAGCCAGAACTGCCATAAGGCGAATGTTGTACTCATGAGTAAGAAACTTGAAATGGCCCACATGAACTTTATCTGAAGAATTTTTAAAATAATTGACTAAACAAGACCATGAAACCAGCACATTATTAAGAAGCGTATATGAAAACTGAGACCATCTAACTTCAAAAACTTTTGGAAGTTGAAGCAATTTGAGGTTATACTCAAGAGCAATATTTTTCAATTCTCGTGTCCTCAAACCAGATCTTCGAAAAAATGTAGTTAAACCAACAAGTTTTTGAAAAAGTAAACTAACTTCAGGAACCGATTCACTCACTGACTCCCATGCTAGATTTGAACGGTGTGCTGCACACCATAAAGTAATTAATGGGCTCATAACTTCAGTTCCACATGCAGTTTTTTTCAAATTTGTTAATAAGGTCCACAAGCCAGATTTTTGTCCTACATTCGAACTCGCTCCATCAGTAACTAGAGAAGATGTTTTTTTCAAAATATTGTTGAAATTTTCATTTCCAAGTCTTTTAACACATGCTGTTTTTAAAGCATCACACATACCTTTCGCACCCCTTTCAACAGGTTCTTCAGCACCAAGAAAATAAAGTTTTTCTTCTCCTTCTAGTGTAATAGATTTCATCAACACATACATTTTATCGATTTGAGTTCGGTCAACACTTCCATCACAGCGCAAAGACAATGCGAGTGAATTATTAAGAATATCTTCCACAAAAGATGACTGATGAGTTTCTACAATACATTCTAGAAGGTCTTTATGAGTGTGTGGTGTTAGATACTGAAGTTCACTATCATCAATATTATTTGATACTTCACCATTTAATTGAAACAAATTTGCTTTTTGTGATACAATAACCCGGCTGGGAAAAGAATAAGCAGATAGTGTAAGTTTCTTAGCATCATTATAAACATGAATCATAAGACAGCCAATTTTCCTCGCCAATTTGTCATTTGCTTGATTGACTGCTTTTCCCATTGGAGTTATGGCCATTTTTTCAGAAGTATTTAAAGTTTTATACTTATGTACCTTAATCGCTTCTATGTGATATGTGGTAGACAGATGGTCATTTAATACTTTCAGAAGATATTTAGTTCCATACTCTTGAGCGATTGCAGGAACTTTAGATTTATTATTACTATATCGCTTTACTATGTCTTGTTCTGCATAACATGGCTCACAACGAATCAAATGTTTTCCTTTAAAATGAAAATGTTTAATGCAACTACTGTCTGAAATAAGTATTACTTTTATTAGTTTTGGTTATTAAATACATTTAAAATATTATAAAAACATTCTAAACAATATTTACCATTAACTAAAGTTGTGTTATTTTGTTGAATCTCACTAATCTCAGTATTTATGGTGTTATCCAAGCTGTTTACTGTAGTGCTATTGCCGCTTGTGGTGTTAATTAAGTTATCTACTAAATTATCTATTATCAGGTAAAAATCTATTATTTATTTAACATTTTAATTTAACATACCTATGTTAAGATCAGTATTTTTACTTTTATAAAGCCATTTTTTCATAAGACCAGAACTGCTTTTTGGGGCTAATTTTTTATTCTAAAATTCAAGTTTTGAAATATTGATTAATTTATAATAAAACATTAAAACATTTAAATAAAATTGTGCGCTTAATTTTAATAACAGCCATTCATGCAAACAGCATCATTTAAACTTGAACCGAAAAAATATGCCAATATTTAACAATAAAAGCAGAGAAGAAATAATTATATAAATAATTAAGCTATTTAATCAACTTATATAAGCAAACTAAGATAATGCAAGCTTAAATTGGGTGCTATGGATACATATATACCATAGTACATACTGAATGTAGGAAGTACTTTATTCTTCAATATTATTTAAATATGATAAATAATATTGAAGCCTTTGGTGACGGTCCACATGTCAAATTATATCCTTGTAATAGTAATAATATGGTGACATTTGCTGGATAAGAATAAAAAAAAATGTGTTTACTTTATATTTATAAATTATAATATGTTAGTATGTACCATTTAAATAATTAAATAGGTAGGTATACTATATAGTAAGTTAGTATTACTGTATTAGTGTTTTACCTTTTTTAAATCCATGTTCGCTACGCACGTCACTTTCACTTGGTCACTTCTTCGTCTAAGTAATTAGTAAAATAAACATAAAACATGACGAATTTAATGGTCACATTATTATCACTTTCTGTATTGCATCGTGTTATCATATAGATTACACAATCTTCTATGTGTATATGATAATAAATGTTATGGAATGGATTGATAACATTTGTGTAAAAAATATTAAATAAAATACATACCTACTTAAATTAAACAATATTACATATTCCAATAATACAGAAAATTCACGATTTTTGGTACTGACCAAATTGGTTTTTAGAGTTGCCCATTTCAATTTAGAACTACCCACATTGGTTAGAACTACCCATTAGCGCAAGCTCTGCCATAGTCGATGATTATGTAATATAGTATACCTATATGTAAATAAAGCAAAATGCATAATAAAATGTTTTGTTTAAATCGGAAATTGCACTATGGGCCCGGGCCTAGGGGGCCCCCACTCCATATACGCTACTGTCGATCATACACGGCATAATACTTGTCATGCATTTTGAAATACCGAAAGCATTCTAAAGTCGGTATGTCTACTTACTGTTATCGCTAATTGGTTTTCGGGAATTTCGACCCCAATCCCTATATAATTGTATAGTAAGTAATACTATTGATCGTAATACGACAACTTTACTTTATTATCATGATACGTTTTACGATCACTATTTCGGTCGTAATCGGAACATCGCAAATAACAATAATTGAGTGGTTTTTTTTTTTTTTTGTTGCCAGCAGACGGCGACTGTGGCGAGGGCCCAGCGAGTTGCGAGGGCTGCGGTTCGAAGATTGTGGACAGGTTCTTGATGCGAGTGGGTACGAGCAGCTGGCACGAGCATTGCGTCACGTGTACCGCGTGTGGCGTCCCACTGGCCAAGTCGTGCTACTACCGGCACAATGGATTGTACTGCAAAAACGATTATGACAGGTAACTTGGAACTACAACTAACGGTCGCCATGACTTTATAAATGCACTACCCATATGCAATTCATATATTATGCACATAAAGTGCATCGTCTGCCGTGACGTGCGCTGTACCTATATTTAGTATATGATTTGTTTCTGTATTATACATGCAGTAAACTATAATAACTTACAATGCATAGATCCCGACTTATAATGTACTCACAACAACTACACACGTTTATCTACAATGATACTACGAGTTTGCCTTTGTGTGACAATATCGACGAATTTGTACCTATTCCCGCGAGACTTCTTTCAACCCACGCCGAACGTATGTACCTGTGCACATTTACGTTCAGCGGTGTGCTAAATGCTAATCGTGCTTATTAGCTTTAGTTTTAAAGTGAATTTCGACCTATTGTCAATATTAACTCTTCTACGATCCGGCAATGTTTATGTGCGAGTGTCGAGTAAATTTTAAAGACTTTATGGGATGGAAGTACGTAAGTAACATGTAAATCGTATATTCTAGACTATTTGGCGTCAAATGCGGTCGGTGTGGTGAGCCTTTAGGAGCCAGAGAGTTGGTAATGCGCGCCGGGCCCAGTCACGTCTATCACGTTGGATGTTTTGCCTGCGTGGCCTGCATGCAACCGTTACAAAAAGGCCAGCAGTACGTGGTCAAGGCCGGCGGTGGGCAATTGTTCTGCCGCACAGACTTCGAAAAAGAAATTTTTCTCATGCAACAATCCGTCGGAAGTCCACAGCCAGGTAACCTTTAATATAAATATATAATTATAGGTGTAAGCCGATAATCTAATTTAGACATAGTTAGTTTTAACGTGTTTGTATTCGTCGTGCATAGATTTATAAATATAATATTATACTCCCGCCAATTATTATAATAATAATATAATATAATAATATGTAATATAATACAATATAATATAATAATATTATAATATTAATTAATATATTATATTTATATATATATTATTACTATAATTATATTATAATATTTGAATATTCAATTGAAGTAATAAAAATAATGTTTATTTTGAGGTATTGAAACCAAATAAATTATAAATTGTGATAAATTGCTCTTCGGTACTTTTGAAGCATTAAAATTAAAAAAAAAACTCGTTGATGGAAATAAACACTGTAAGAAAATATCCTATTTACTTCATTACATGATGTATGAGCTATTATAGTAATATAGTATTTTGATTGTAGGACTATTTTTTAAATAAAGGTTGATGTTTTACCTGTTATCGTTGTTGTTTAGTCACAGACTACCTATATGATTTATTTCGACGGTATAAAACTGTGCTATTGTACAGTCTCAAATTGTTGAATTGTAGAATTGTAAAATGTTGATGCAGTGTTGCGCCCAAAAAATTATTCATTTAGGATCGTTGGTTGGCACATTTTTTCAATATTAAGTAACACGCGTTATACTCCATCGGTTAGTTGGCAATGCCAAGAGTTGTATTTTTGTTTTTAAATTAGTTTAAGTAAATTAAACATTTTGAAAAATGATATCATGAAGTTCCTCATGATAAAAATGTAATTGCGATTTTCGGACGTATAGCTGCCCCCTGCCGGTTTTGTGGATATAATTGTTAGGTAAATAAAATTGAAGCAAACTTTTTTGAATTTTTTGACATAATGAAAGTATATGGGGAGAAATGGTTGGCATAAAGAAATTATTTTGTTTGGACATTCAAATAAACTTGTGCATATGCCATATAGTCATCGGTCACAACTACGTATTACCTTTAATTATACGTTAGATGAAATATAAGTATTACACTATTTAAACAAATTATTTAAATATTAAAATTCATCGTTGTTTTTGTTTAGATGACAGTTTAACTTTAGACGAGAATTGTAGACCTCGAGACGGCCGCCGTGGTCCCAAAAGACCCAGAACCATATTGACTTCAGTACAACGACGGCAGTTCAAAGCTTCGTTCGAAGTCAGTCCAAAACCTTGTAGAAAGGTAAGTTCGTTTTCTCGTAATAAACGGTATTCATATTATATACATGTACAGTTGAACACAGTATTAAGACAATTAAAGACGTTTATAATAACAAACTATACATCAAATTTGCATGTTCCACGAGTCATAACCCATATTTTGTTATTATTTAAATGATAAGGATAAAGATATATTAGTTTTAAACCAGGCGTCGTTTAAATCCAATTATTATTTTATATTTTGTCATTACGTTTACTTATTGTGTACTTAACACTATAACGGTGATATTATATTTTGTATGTAATTTATATTTAGGTACGAGAAGCTTTGGCTAAAGACACCGGTTTAAGCGTGCGAGTTGTACAAGTATGGTTTCAAAATCAGAGAGCCAAAATGAAGAAAATCCAAAGAAAGAGTAAACAGGACGATAAAAATACGAACAATAATAACGCGAACAATACGGATAAAAATGAAACTGAACACGCTACAAATACCACGTCTAGCGTATGTTCTGGAGGTAATACAAGTCATTTAATATTTTTTTAGTTGTATAGCACAATATTAGACATAGATATTTAATTATATTTTAATCAAATACTGACATGATAAAAAAACTAATATGACACTATACACGTCATACTGATACCTACAGCTTATATAAATTGTAAAATATGACTTACGTAAGAGAAGAATTTTATAGCTTATTTTTACTCGCAGCATACTAATATGTACAAGAACTTAGAAGTAGACATGTTCTTAGCTACATTTTAAGTATTTTAAAATTACTAAATAGGTATTCATTCGATGACCATAGTCAACTGACGTTTATTATAAGATGTAAGCTCATTACTTGCTCATTGCACATATGCACTTAATTAACATCATCCCATCTTAAAACATCGTCAGTTATTAAACATTGCATTATAGTAGATCTCATTTTATCATACAATTTTTTTTTTTTTTTAGTGTTATCCGCGATCAAATAAATAAATTCATAATATATCTATAGTTGTTAAACATCAGCGCGATGTAATAAAGTATAAAGTTGTATAGTGTATAATGTCTTATAATACCGAATATCATAAAATTCCAATACATTATTATTTTTTTAACCATCAACAGTGCATTACTGCTGCGGATACTATATCACGGTTAGGTATATTTTAGGTACAATCGTGTGCCTACAGCCATAGAGTAAATATAACTATACAGTTATAAAAATATGGGTTAGATACTTCATCACACGGTGAACAAATGCATTGTTAGGTAAAGTCATGTGTAAACGTGCGTCTGTTTTTGTCTGTAGATCATTACTTGAGCTTGAGTACGCTGAGCATGCACGACAGCAGCGACTCGAACTATCAGAACAGCCAGCCGCTGAACCCCAACATACCATACTCGCCCGAAGGTAAATAACATTCGCGTGGTAAATAATAATGTGATGTCGAGAGCCGCATTTATTCGCGAAAATCTATATCGTATTCCGCATCGAGAATTGAAGTGCAACCGCAGAGCTGGTTACGAAACGAACCTATCAAACACCTAACCTAACCTACGCGTTGATCTGAAATGTGTGTCGATGTTCAGTGTGTGAATATATCTCGAGATCGTTTTTTTTTTAATCGTGCGCTGTAACTGCACAAACAAGTCCTTTCGTCTCGTCGCTCGTCAGACTCGTCCGCGTCCCTCGCCTTGCAACCTCCTCCTTCCCCCCTCTGTCCCTCCCCTAAATTAATCCGATCGCGGGTCATAGTTTTATGATATCTCAAGTCTTGGCGCGTATAACGCAATACTAAGATATCGTCTGTTGCTGTGCAGGTACGTACACCGGCGAACATTCGGTGGACAGTTTCTGCAGTTCGGACGTGTCCCTGGACGGCAGCACCACGGCGGCGGACGAGATCGGCTCCGATACCATGTCGCTAGACCTGTCCGTCCACCACGGCACCCTCAATCAAAACGTGCACCACCCGAATCATCATCACCACCATCACCATCATCACCACCACGTCGGCGGTGCCGCGTCCGTGGTGCCTGGCCAGCAGATCAACCCCATCGACAAGCTGTACCTGATGCAAAACTCGTACTTCAACAGCAGCGACCATTAAACAATATCGTTGTTTTAATTGCGCATATCGCGCACGTGGGCGTGATAATTATTGATATTATTATTATAATTGTGTATTTTATTATGGTTATATCATAATACGGGCGGTTACTGTGTCGTCGGTAATTATTGGACTTGATCGCGATGAGTTGAGATCGTTCATCCCCGGTCCTCGTCGCGTCCATTCGTGTCTCACTATACCTATTCGATACTAATATTACATATTGTGTTTATGTATATATATTGATATATATATATATGTGTACGCTTTCCTTACATCAGCATACTTTAGTATATCTTCACGTTCACACCATGCCTATTGGACAATGTTCTAGCAATACGTAAAATGTTTACCCCGTGTTCTATCTTTCATATTATACCGCATTGCCGCAAGGTGTAACAGAAATGCATTTTGTCGGTTTTCCTGTTTACACCTCGTGCACGTTTTCCATGACATTTACCGTGTTTGTTGTGTATAGTGTTGTTATTTTTGTATCGCCAAAGTTTTCATGTAATATACATTAACTCATCGATTATTGTAGGTACCGACTTTGTATCATATTAACTCGTTTTAGTTCATTACGAGAGACTTACATGTCATACATACGCGATTTTAAAAGAGTCCTTTATACCGATGTTTACTGTCTCCTGGTGGAGTTATTTACTTAGGTTTAAGAAATTATAAGTGTGCTGTAACTTCTGTATAATACGATTATTATTGAATATATACATATATTTGTGTATAAATACACATATGTATGTATATGTATAAACGTGTGTATATTCCGTCGTACTGTTTTATCGATGTTAAATGTATTTTATCGCATTATTTAATTTGAAATCTAGACGAATACTTTATACATAGTAATGTAGTTTCACTGTTGTAAAAACTAAGAAGAACGTTTCCTTAAGTTAATAAAAAAAGAATATTTATGTTAGGAATACATACCGATCACTTATAGTATAAACTCTATGTAATATTTATATTTATATATAATTTATATTATAAATAGGTTCACACATAAGCTATATACTAATTAGTAAAAATGTGGTATTTATTGTGGTTTTAATGAATTATGTCCATTTGAATTTATTGTCAACTCGTGTTATGTTTACTTATATTTATATGTATGTAATTTTGTAAACTTATTTAGTGCACTTAAATTCCAAAAGTCAGACAAAAGTTTAGCTACCTAGTTGATAAATATGTGAAAATACAGTGTAAACAATTAATGAGATCGTAAATAAAAAAAGCACTGATCAGAATATAATATATTTGTTATCGTTTGTGCTATAAATAAGAATATTAAAATATATCAACGAGTTTTCATAGGATATCAAGTGATATATGCCAATAGTGTACTAGTTAACCTTTCGTATGTGAACAACAAATAATAAAATAGATTATAAAGATAAGCTCTATAACTTACGAATTTCTAGACTATATTATGAGATATGTGAAAATTACAAGCGATTGTTGTAGAAATATAGAACATTGAGAACAAGAATTAAACAATACCTGCCGATCTAAGTAGGTTTAAGACTTAAATTATTCTTTTAATTAGTTTTTGACAAAGTATCGAACTAAACGAAATATTATTAACTGTATGATTAAAAAAAAGTAATACTTACAAATTACTTCTTGCCCAGATTCATTTTTTTCTTGAAAGTTAAAGGCGGTCTCGCTTCATATCGTTTTTATTTTTTTTTTGGTCTTTCTTTATGATTTTCGTCAACAATGATATTTTTGCACCTCACTTATTAACATCTTGCAGTCAATATTAATAATGTCTGTCTCAGTAAAAGGATTTTTAATTTTTTATTATAATTTATAACACTTGAAAAATATCACAAGACACGTGGCACGGGTTGTCTATATGTAACAATTAGATTTTTGATCCCGTCAATTGTTATGAAAAAAATTGAACAAGTTCATACGTAATTAAAAAATACTCAAAATAACAATAAAAATATAAATATTTTTTCGTACAGTTTTTCACAATTATTTCAAAAAATACCATACAAAGTATCCAAAATAGAAAAAAATGTTAAATTATGTATGTAATCTAATCTTATCGAATTTTGCGATGACGCGATGAACACGACGAGTATGAATTTTATCGTCTATGCATGTATAATTATCAATTGATAGCATTTCATGTAACATCTAAACTAAAACGCCTAACTGTAAAGAGGAAAAAATTAAGGTGTTAAATTTTTATGTTAAAAAAAATGTGAACACATGCACCCCCTCAGATAAATTTAAACTATAAGAATTGAGCCATCGATTTGATAAAAAATAAAGATATGATTTAAGTTATGAGAATCCCTCAGTATAATGATCAAATGAAAACTGTAAAAATGTTACTGTTCAGCTTGAAATAAGTTACCTAATCCGTAAGCAATAGTCTACGTTTTATGTGATTTTTCGAAATTTAATTTAACTACTTCTATTTCAATTTAAATGATTATTATAACACTAAAGGTTTCATTTTATTTTAAGAACATCGTAGAATATCCATTCTACGACTTATCAGTTAGCTATTACAAAATACACTGACATGTAGGTAATCACTAATTATAGACAATACAGTTGAATTATAGCGAATAGTTATAGATTTTTTTTAGAGTATTCGATTATACGCCAGTACTTGTGCTTATAGTGAACAAGTATGTATAAATTACGAGGTGTACCAATTAATGAACCATATAAAAATAAAACTGACTGGTATTCTATGAAAACCATATTTGAAACGTATTAATTGTTGAAATTAAAATTAAGTTATAATATTTTGAACAATAAAAATTGGTTTTATTTAATCAAAAACGAAATATCATTTTTTTAATTGATTATACACTTAGTAAATTACTGGTACACCTCCAGTAGTCGAATAATCAACTCTACATTCATTTGTGCCTCGTTGGATTTTGAAAAGACCATTGTCACCCCAATCTTCATTCCATGAGTTGACCATAAGCCAATATGGCACTCCATATTCTTCACCCCATCCAATCAATTTTACGGCATGTCCTCCTAAATACGAAGCATTTTCCGTTCGAACGTAAACTCCTATAAGTATAAATTAAATTGATTTTAATAAATTTAAAACCCATAATAAAAAAAGTTCACTATAATAATAATTTCAGCTTACCAGACTTGTAACTAAGGAAGTCATCGTAAACATCAAACGATGCTTCAATGGGACCATAAACTAAAACGTCCTTTTGGATACTTTCGTATGTAAGGTAATACGAATCTCTTGCTGTAATCATGATAATTGTATTGGTTAAAATAATATTTTAATATTCATGTATAATGTATTATCCAAAGAAACCATACTGTATCTGTGATCATAGTGATAATCAATTTCTTCATCTCCGTAACATTTCCTTTTGCATCTATGATTTCGTTCCATCGGTTTACCAGCACAAGTACTATTTCCGGACTCGTCGTTGGGGCACGGAGGGACTCTGTATGGTTTACAACCCTAAAAATACACAAATTAATAGTAAACACTATATGTGAGCATATGCATTATATAAGCATTTTTCTATAAATAATTATTTCCCTACCTCTCCTGATCCATAATCTCCTCCAGTAACCAAACCGTATTTCCTAAAACGTTTCCAAGCTTTTATTGGGTAACCTCCTCTACACCCAAAACCACACGAAATACAACAGAAAGTTATTTCTTCTGCAGATAACAATTGATTAAATTCTCCATTTGTAGCTATACATAAACGGTCAGCAAATGCTGAACTTGTTGCTATTGCCTATCAGAGAAATTATAAAAAAATAAATATTTTAGTTTTGTCACCAACAACTGATTTATAGTATCTATAAGTCATAATATATAGTATCTATAAGTTAAAATAAATAATTAATGTATATTATATACACACAAACATACCCAACTTGATCCGCAATTTCCTTGATCTCGGACTTTTCCAATCGTACTACATTTGATCCATTTTTTCCTCGCATCAAATTTCCTTGGGATATTGTAGACAAATTTATCATAGGCGTCGTCTTCTGATTTATATATTTTGCGGTTAGCTTTGTTTGGAATTTGTACTCCTTTGGATCCCAAAAGTTTTAAAATGTGTTCATCTGGTGTGTTTGGTTTGAAATTGACTCCGGCCTAATGTAAGTAGGTAAATAAAAACATCAATATAAAATAATAATACTTCTTATTTTACATAAATTTTAAAAACGAATAAATATATAAGTATATAACTATATAAACATTAACGGTCAATGGAGGCTAATGCACCGTTTCTTATGACGACGCCAATACAAATAGTTAGCCTATATTATTAAAGGCTGACTGTTAACTATATCTCCATTCAAAATCGTTTTTGTATATGCAATGATTATCATTGAATTTCAGTTAAAATACACCAACTATATAATTAATATAATTAATTATTATCATTATTTTTATTTTGTTTATTCATCACACACATTACAATCCTTTCTCAATCACTCAAAGTCTATTTTAATTCAAAACAACTGCCCCAGTTTTTGACACTTGAATTTATTATTATCTAGTTAAAATTTGAATAGTTTGAATAAATTTATATATTTTTAATATTATAATTTGCTTAACTTTTTATAATTGAAGGCATTATGTGTAAGAGTGAAATAGATTAGGAATTATGATGTCTTAAATTATATATATATGTATTTATAATTGTGTTCATCGATTTTTAAATCTTTCTATCTCTATTTAATATTTCATACGTTAAAAAAAAAGATTAATTTTATACTAAAATTAAAAAACTAACGTATTAACTTACATCACCGGTGAATATTTATTATCAGTTTTGGAAAATATAATACAGTTTTGACTTTTTCCTTGTTAATTTGTATTTTTTACTTATTGGCTATTGTACATTTGTACTTAAGAGCGCAACTAGGGGGGTCCCTGGGTACGGACCCCTTTTGAACCATGTCGTATCTTTTTAAAATACCATTATTTTATTATTATTACAGCAATACAGCAGTATACTCATTGATATTGTCAGGCCTGGATTGGGCCCCTGTGCTACTGGTTCTACAGCATATAGTAGGCTGCATGTCTCAATTTTGTAATAAAATACTTGTTTTATTGAAAAATTAATGAGCAAAAAAAAAATTTTTTTTTATATTATGTCTATGCGCCGCCTGGCTTACTAAGAGCAAAGTAGGGAGTTATTCGAATAAAATTGTATTTAGATGATATTCTATTTGAATGATTTTTTCACGATTATTCAAATAATTTTCAAACGTTATTATTCGAATAAAAAATTATTCGGATAATTTTCAAACGTTATTATTCGGATAATTTCAAAACGTTATTATTCGAATAATTTTCGTTAATTTTGTTTGGGTAACCGTAGGGTTGGTAATTAAAAACTGGTTAATAGTTGGAATTGTAGGTATTTTAAATTACATGATGATGAAAATATTATAAAATATTATGTATAAAACAGATATAAATCTATAGAAGAAAGTAAAGAATTTGACATATTTTTTTTAATAATAATTTAGTAATATTAAAATATGAATATTATTTCGTAGTAGTTACAACAATTATAAATAGTAGTAAATAGTAATAACAAAAATCTAAATAAATATTTTGGAAAAAATGAAAATAAATAAATATAGCAAATTTTTAATTTCAATAAATAAAATTATTATTAAATTTTTAATAAATTATTAAAAAAATTAATTTAGTTTAATATATAATAGTATAATTAATGCTATTATTAAAAAGACTTATAAATTATAATCTTATTACCATTATATGATACATATTTTGTACTACTTATTATAATTTTTATTTGAATAATAACAGTTTGAAATTATTCGAATAATAACGTTTAGAAATTATCTGAATAATTTTTATTCGAATAATTGTGAAAAAATCATTCGAATACATATTTATTCGAATAGTTATCTAGATAAAATTTTGCCCAACTCTGACTGAGAGTAATAATTATATTTTTAGATTCCCCTTAAAAAAATCCTATTTGCGCTACTGTTTGTGCTACATACCTACTGTTTAATAATTTATACTGTGTGTCTGTGTATAGAATATTTCTAGTATACTCGTAAATAATAAAATAATATTATAATAGAGTTAAACATTTTAGATAATATATTTTTTATCTTGTATATCTATACTTATAATTTAAATATTAGTTAAAATGACACTGAATAAATATTAACATCAGTCTATCGACATTTTAATGATGTGGTATTTGACATAGTTGATAATCTTCCATGTTTTTCCATTTACTTATTAATTGATTCAATATAACCTATCCTTATGTTAAATTGAACTGTATTTACACATTTCTATAAATTCATTTCTAAAGACTTATTTTTAATGTAAAAATTATAACTCAAAAACTACTTGTTTGAATTTTAAATTATAATAAGTAGGTATGCAACAAAAGTTAAAAAGAAAAAGAAAAAAAAGTAGTTTGTATCACCACGAAATGCTTTTTTAAGTAATATAAAAAAAAAAAAAATCTTGTAAATTTGAAAATACAGTATAAAATGCATTTAAAAATTCTAAAAATCAGAATTTTAATAAATGCATCACTAAAGAAAAAAATGGGTGAATTAATTGTATATAAAATATATGTTATACAACTTACCTTCCATGTTTTTGTTTTTTCATTGATTTTGTTGATGTAATCTTCTTCCAAAAAGTAAGCTTGTTCTGTCATATAGACACTGAACAAAATCACAGATAATAAAATCAATAACCTAGCCATTATTGAACTTTTTTGCTTAAATGTATTAAAAAACAAAATAAATTACAACATTCATGGTTGCAGTCTGCTGATACAATTGGTAATGAGATTAATTTTTAAATATCCATTTGATATAATATATTACCCATCATGCACACCTCGGAGTACTTGAATAAAATACTTAGTATTTTATTCGTAAGTTTTTCTCGGAAGAATCAATTAAATATTTTCAAGTATTTTACCATAAAAATAAATATTTTTTTTATATAATTGGTTTTTTACACTCATCATACATTTATCAGGATTCTACAAGGTTTTAGTAGATACCTAATTTAAAAACTATTGTCATATATATACTTTCATAGATATTTAATTATTTGAAATTAACTTTTGTAATAGAATCTTATATTTGAAATAATTACTAACACTCAAACCCCTCTCCCCTGGCTACGCCACTGAATGTAAGATAGGTATTATACGTGATATCATTGATTATAGAATTCTATAATCAATGGTGATATATATATTATATATATATTGAATTTTATTTAAAAAGAAATATTTAATATTATATATAACAATTAGGTATATGATTATTACAGTATATCATATTTTGTATTATTTATTCAAATGAATCACTTCTACATTATAGCATTTTAATTTATTCCTTATACTTAAAAATCTATAAAAATATCTTTGTACGAACTCTGTTATAGGTGTTACTAATTTCAAACTGACTTATTAATTATGTGGTTGATGTTTCAGTAACAAAATTAACTTTCATACTAACAAATTTTCATCTATAATGTCCTCTCGAGGACAAAAACCAATTTTAATAAAATATAAATTAAATAATCGTTCGATAAATCACACATCTTCGAGTGTTGTAGGTATAATAGACGGCAATCACGTCGTGGTCGTCGTCGCTGTACGATTCTCCGTTGCCGTCGCTGCCGTCCACCTCTTCCGTTTGACACAATTATTTATCTGTGACGCAGATGCCGACGCTGACGTTCACATGCGTTTGATTTAGTTTATCTGCGTATCTTCCATTAATTCCATCGGTCATTGATCTTCAGTCGATTTCTGTTCTTTTTCGGGTTTGTTCTGTTTACGGGTGCGCCTTGTACAACAACCCACAAAAACGTTCAAGAATTTACTCAGGTTCTTCGTTTTTTTCAGCGTATCTAAACTTTCGAACTGTATATTGTACTGTAACTAACTGACGACTGAAAAAAAATTACATAGTTATCGTTCGTTCGTAAAATTTTTGTTGGTTGTTGTTATCATAGTAATATTATTTTTGTTACTAGCCAGCAAGTTCTCTAGAACTTTGAAACTATATTATAACATTTTGGCATTTTACCGTTAGCAAGCTCTTTGACTTAATTCGTTGCAATCTCGTTACACGTTTTTTTTTTTTTTGTCATTGAACAGATGAAAATAATGATGTATTCTCAATATCTCTTTAAAGAAGTCAAAATAGTTGTAATAATTAAAGAAACAATAATAATTGGTCACCGATTAATCGGCAAACAAGTTTTTGCTTAATACTTTGCAGTGGTTCCGATCTGACTCTCATAATAGATATAGTTGTATGTTATTTGTAACAAATATAAAGTATTAAGTTATTGTCTTTATTATGTTTAGGATATTATGCGATAGCCGATAAGTGTAGTTTATCTGTGTCTTCTTACCAAAATAAAATTGTTTGTTTGACTGTTTGAGTTGTAATGTATCATACGAAATGTGCTGGAAATTTCACGACGCAATCTAAGAAGCATTCCTGGATATGCGAGTCGCGCATTCTTATTAATAAAAATGAAAAGAAACTCACTAGTCGTAAAAAACATAACTCTTCTAGTAACAAAGATATAAATATATTATTGATTAGAAATGATGTATCTAAATTATTTTCTAATAGGCGCATTAGAGAATGTTTATAAATTTTTACTACATACATATTATTATATAATAAATATTAATATTTTAATATAATATATTAAAATATTGGTATATTATACCAATTTCAATGCATATATAATATATTTATGTATATTCAAATCTCTATAGTTTATGGAGTCTCCTTATAGTGGACATTTTTTAATCTCCGTGGGCCGTGGCTGTCCATTAGGTACTTATATAGAGGTTTCACTGTATTATAAATTATATTATATTTTCATTAAATATTATTTATTCGCATATTCGGAAATATTAATATCTGATTTTTCATGATCCGATTGTAATACATAGTCGATTACTTTTGTTTCGTGTTTACTAAAAAATAAATGAATTTGTTTATTTAATTAAATAATTGAAATAAATAAATTAGTTAATTCACCTTGACGTTAGTGAGCTCCAAATAAAAGATGTTTCGGACCTAACACTTATAATACTTATATCATTGTCTTCGACATGAAAAGTTAAAGTTAATTAACTAAAACGTAATTATTATTTTTAGAAAAGAATTATATTATAATGCATACTCTATACTAGAAGATTTTAGAATAGCATCTAAATTATTCGTGGCAAGATTTTCACTTTCAGTCATGTCATCTAATACATTAGCTGGAGTTAGTAACAGACCTTCACCAAAATAATTATTCATAGCAATCATAAAACAAAAATAAACATCTAAACCCGATACTCTTATAACTGTAGATATCTAAAGTAATTACTAATTACTAATAAGTAAGGAACGGATGTAAATGCAAAGTGCATTTTTTATGTTTTTATGTCATTTATATAGGAATAGATAAAATTAAGCATTATTTAATTGAACAGTGCTATTATGAAATAGGTAAAAGTATAACAAATGTATCTATTTAAATAGTAAATTTTATATTCATTTTTTGGAAATAATTATTCTTTTTTAGAGAAAAAGAAGATAGAATAACTAAAAGATGATGAAAATGATATGAATAATGAATACCTATGAATATAAATGTAATTGTGCTGTTAACTAATTAACTAATACAATTAATTTGTTAAAACTAAAATGTAACAAAGCAAGGATAGGTCACCTAAAAAGAAAAAAAATTTTTAGAAGTTTTGGTCTTAAACTACCTATTACAAAAATGATAAATGAATAATATTTTGAGGATAAGACATATTGGAACATAAACCTTAAATTATATGGAATAAATCTAAGAGTGAATATTACTATAGCTCTAAAAGAATATGTATTTTAAAAATCATTGTATAGTGTTAAGGTTTAATTTCTTTAACAGAAGTATAAATATAATACAATCCATGATATATTTTTTTTTCAATACTATTCAGTCATTTATATGCATTGTGATATTTACTAAATTTCATTACAATAAAGTGGCAGAATTTTTTTTTTATGGGCCAACAATATTTTGTTTGTATGAGGCCAACCGCCCAAATTTTATTTCTACTAATACAGCTTGCTAGAATCAAATTAAAAGTTAATATTTTGATTCAGTTAATCTATTAGGTATATTCACGAATTAGTCATATGTTGATGTCTAGAAGTTTTTCCACTATCCCAAAAAAACTATGGACCAAAGCTTCTTTATAAAAACTTCTATTACAATGCCATTGATTTTCAAAACAGAAATTAATGTTTAAAAAATAAATTATTTCAAAAGATATTACATAATTATTTTTATATTAGTTTTTAAATAAAAATGTCCTTAATTGTAATTAAATGTAAAATATATTAGCGAGTGACTGTTGCTTCTTTACGTGCAGCATCTTGTAACAACTGTGTATCAACTTCATCTGCTGGTAATTGTACATAACGAACCACTGAACCTCTAATGAAACAGTTCCTTACAGAAGCCTAAAAAATTAACAGCATGAATTTTTTTTTTCGTATTCAAGTAAAACTAATTACCATATGTGGGTATTTTTCAGGATCAGTTACACTAATGTCAATGAGTTTGATATTCAAATATTGATCCACGGAATGTAACGTTCCACATATACTAGAAAGAAAATGTTTTCAAGAAAATAACATTAGTCAAAGCCAGATTAAGAATTAAGTTGGCTTGGAGCAATATAGATTCAATAATTTTTACCCATAAGGAGCTATTAAAACAACATGATGTATTTAATTTATAATAATACTATGTAATATAGAAAAGATGCAGTCCTGTTATAAAAGTTTCTTTTGCACTTATGCTAAAATTAGTACCTGACCAGTGGCGTGGCAAGCATATTTCAAATTTTAAGATAAATATTTAAACAACGGCCCATCCAGTACCCCCAGCAATAAAATAAATAACTTGAAACTATTCCAATTTAAAATTTTTGTTATAGGACATAGATCATCAACAATTTAATATAGAAAAATACTATGATAATTGATAATATATTATGTGATTATATATTTATTCATACAAAATTAAATTTTTTAATTCAAGATAAATTTTTAGAATTGAGTAACTGAATATGGCAAACATTGTTCAACACACCACTAGCCCTGGCGTTAGTATATAAATAATTTAAAAAAAAAAAATCAGCACTTACCTAAGATCATTTTTTAATTCAACGACAACATCTTTCCCAACAAGTGATTTAAAAAACGAGTAGAACAACTGTGAAAAAACAAATTACAATTTAGCATTGTATTATTATTATTATTTATTTATATACTTTATACAAGTGTTATGTATGTAATGTGTTAAAATAATGAACACAAATATATTGTAATACTTAATGTAAACTATGAAAAATGCAAGCACTACCATTTAAGATTAAATAACTTTAAGATTGGACGCCATACTACATGCTTTTGCTAAATATGTTTTAGACATTGACTGTTCTATTTTATGTGATCGTTCTATCGCTACAACATTTTTTATAGACCGATCACATTAAATGCATACTGGTCAATCAAGCAGAAACACATAATATGACAAAAGTGACCGACTCATTAGTGTATTTACAAATTTACGATAATATAATAATAATGACATTTTTCAGATCCACAGACCACAAGGCTTTATTAATAAATTCTATACGGTTACTATTTACACGGTCTACAATAAACGAGAAAATCACATACCATTTTTAAAACGAAGTTTTTTAACGTGAATTATTAACGAACGATACACACTATGTAGATATGGGACTATAAACAGTTGTAGACATAAAGCATAGAGATAACAAAAAGTAGTTATTGAAATCAGACAGTGTTTAACACATGGAAAATAGATTATAATATAGAAAAGTAAATGCCTAAAAAAATATTGATACTAAAAACGACGCTAGCGCTCATTAATAATGTCTCAAAATATAAGATCGATAGCATTAAATTATCGATAGAACATAATCGATTATTGTTATTAAACAATAAACATAATTTATAATATTTCTTAAAACTTCATTATTATACGTATATACTTATTATTACCTTATAATGGTTATTGCCTATTGGTTAACATAGTAATATAGAACATAATCCTTATTGTCACTTTTAAAACTGAAATTAACATTGAATTATTTAATAAAACAAGTAAGTTAATATATTTGTAAACAGTTTCAAAAAATACATTAGATATTGGTTTTTAAAATTAAAAATAACATGATACAAAGTTATAAACAATTTAGGTACATTTTGACGTTGTACATAAAACTTTCTTTTTTTCCGAATATTTATAACTATACAAAATTCTAAATTGTTTGATGAAATCTAATGTATTTGTTTTTATCCTTTGTATACATTTTATTGATACCTACCTGCAATAATAATTAATATAAAATAAAAGTTAACTGTAACAGTTTTTAGAATGATATCACTTAAATAAGTCATGATTTGAACATTTAAAATTTTCAATAGGTGCAAATTTTGAAATTCAGGCTGAATAAAAACTTATTAAAAATCGTTTTTTTTAAACATAAATATTCATGAACACTTAAATTAAAAACGCGAATAATAAAACTATAAAAATATTTTGTTTCTTAATTATTCGTGAGCTTGAATAATAAATTGTTAGCTATAGTGTTGGTACTTTGGATTGGAGTCAATAAATTCTGTTTGAAATAAAACAACAAATATTTTCTTCGTTAATGGGTATTCCGTTGAAGAAAAAAAATCATTCAAATTATTCAAAACTCCACAATGTCATCATATTCATGTGCTCAAACAGAACAATAATATAAAATATTTAAGATTTTACAACCAAAAAACGTCTTTTAATAATTATTATTGTTATTGGATATGACATTAGTACACCGTCACACCGATAAAGTTACACTACGAAATCGTTTCCGAAGGATGTTATATTAATTATTATTGAATTAGCGTGTAACGTTTGGTGTTTGGAACACCGAAATCGAATAATAATATAGGTGCGTTCGGATAACAAAAATTTATTGAGCAATCTGTTATTGCTATTTTTAAGTTATTAATTGTCATTTTCATGTTTTTCGAGGTTCTTTAATTACAGTCTTACAGATTTTAAATCTAATTCCTTTGAACCATTTTCGAACGGCAGAATAATAATCATAACATTCATAACAATCATAACGAGATCCTAAGTGTGATGTGTGAACCAAAAAATAAATATTATGTTTTTTCGGATGGGTAGGTACACTACGTTCAACGCCATCTACGAATAAATAACCGTAACGATTTTATTTTATTTCGATTTTATTAGATTGACGTGTTAAAATTTAATACTTCAGTGTTCACGTTAAAGCATGTCAACAGTAAAACATGAGTGGTCTGAGCAAGTGAGTAAGGTCTTTACGAATAAAATCTATACGATTTACCTTTCTATCATTATATTATATTATTGCTATTGCGAGATAGCGTTCTAGGCTATGTACTGATTGGGCGGAGTAGTAGGGAAGAATCATTTCACCACTCCACCGTCACATAAGTAATCGTTAGTAACGATTAGTTATGATATTCGATTGTATTATTATCTATACATAGACCTTAGGTAGATTGTATACACACACACACACATGCATACATATACATATATATTGTATTTATGTTTATTTATATCATTTATTATTATGATTATGAACTATAGTGATTGGTCAACTATGTGCGTCATTAAAAAATAATCATAATATTATTATTTTATTATTATCACGAATACATTTTACGTTTTTTTTTTTTTTATGTTTCATAATAATTATTAATTATTGAATAAGTACAATAACATTGATTCGAAGTTATCACTGTGGACTGTGAGCATCAGACATAATATTAAATGTTATAATTATATTGCGTTCATTATACCGAAAATCGAAACGTCGAACGTTCGTCATCATGATAATAATATTATCTTAACTATTATTACAGAAGTACAGAAGATCGAAGAATGAGCCACCTACCTGCTGTCTGTGTAGTACTAGTTACGTGATCGCGATTATTTGCATAATAATATGTAGGTAATTTATATTATCATATAATATACTGTTCAGTAATACGTGTCCGGGGCGACATTATTAATTTATTGTTTCGTTGTAGCTTGAAGGTTTGGAGTATGAAAATTCCAACATCTCTTCAATCGTGCATTTTCGTTCTCATGTACCTATTATTTTGATTGAAACCTGAGTGGTACACCATACCATCTCGCCAACCACAGCAGGTGAGTAAAGTGATATGTACGATTTTTGGTGCTCATTACTATAACCACGTATAATTAGAAATATACACCTATTAAATTATATTTATTTATGTCATGACTTTATGATTGACCCAAGCTCGTTTAGGTGACTCTTCTTTTTTCAAAAGTTGAGAACGATTTAAACATCTAGCAATATGGAGAACAGTAACAAGAGACCATTAGAAGATGGATGTCAATATTCGCATACAGAAACAAAGAAACCTAAAGCATCTCAGGTCACATCAACAACATCACATCCTAAATCATCCAAGGAAATTGTTGGTTTTCAAGATTTATCTGATGATGTTATCATGTATTTATTTAAATATCTATCACATGATAATCTTGCTAAAATGGCACTGTAAGTGTTCAAACTTAAAAAATAAATTGCATTTACCTAAGTTAATTTGATTGTTTGTTTTTTTTAGAATATGTCCTAATTTGTTAAGAATTAGTCATGATTGGACTTTATGGAAAAAACCAAGATTTGAAAAGTTTGAAAAATCCATGGAAGACATATACTTAAGCTACCTAAAAGAAGATACCACTGAATTGTCTATATCGTGTAATGATGTTCCAAGTCCTGATTATTCAGTTTCTCACAAATTTTTAATACAATTAGAAACAAAATGCCCAGAATTACAACATTTAACATTAACAAATCAAGTCTTTGATGCTGGTGAAGTAAGAAAAATTATTCTTCAATTAATATATTGAATATTTAATTTAATTTACTACTTATAACTACATTTTGTGTGTAGATAAGTGTAAAGATTTTACATCGGAAATTAAAAATGTTGACAATTGATAACACGACTATTGAAAACATTCCAGATAGCTCCTCATATTTATGTGGTATAAACAATGCTTGTCCAGATCTAGAGGTAAATTTGTTTTTTATTTTTTATTTATTAGATGCATTTCTACTTAAGAGGACGCTACACGACATTTGTTGTCTCCTTACAAGTGCATAACAGCAAATTTATGTTCAGCAGATTAAGTTTAGCTTTGTTAGTTTAAAAATTTGAGTGAATCGAATTATAATGAAACTTGATGGTAAGAACATTATTTCTGTTAGTATGTGGATTTTTTATGATAGCTTAATTTTTTATCAGGTTCTGCGTATGTAAAATATAGTAAATTAAAAATGCTTATAATTCACTTAAAAATTGAATTATCGTTAAAATCCACTTACAAATACAGAAAATGTTCTTACCATCAAGTTTCATTATAGGTCAATTCACTCTAATTTTTAAAGTAATAAAACTAAACTTAATCTGCTGAACATAAATTTGTTATGTTATACACTTGTAAAACAGAGAAAACTAATTCCTGTGTAGCGTCCTTTTAAGAAATTTTAGAAATGTTTGTTTTGTTTGTACATTTACATTTTTTAAATGATTATTTGTACTTATGTAGAGAATTATAATGACAAACAATGATTGGTTTTTGCCAAATTGTTTATATGCATTAGCCAAGCTAGAACGTTTGCACTACTTAAGTCTCGCAGGTTGCAAACAGTTTAAGGACTGTATTCCATATGCAAGTATTACAGCCATAACTGGATTTAAATCTTTACAGGTTAGTAATGAGTTACCTTTTATTTTTAACTTGGGATCTATAGCGTAATAGGAATGCACTGTGCAATAATGTAACTAAAAGGAATCAGAAAGTAAGGTTTATCTGGGTCCAAACAATGTCGTTGTCTTGCTTATTTTTTATTCAAGTAATACAATTATATTTCTTATCATGTATTTATGTATGAAAAGCTTAGTTTGGTTAGTTAAATTAAACTATAGTTGTTGCAGTACTGCAATTTATTTATCATTTTTGAAACAAGAGCCCATTATATTGTGTGGTATAAAAAACTGTGAAAAAATAAATAAATAATTTAAAAAAATTAAATTATTACAAATTTTTAAAAGTAGATAGTTCTTTTTTTTTTTAATAAAAATTACTCGGGCTATACTATTTTTGATGGGAAATGTAACTTTTATTTATACCAGAAATAAAAATGTAGAAAAAAAATATTTTTGATTTTTATGACATTTCTAATTATTAGTATTTCTTATTTATTACTTATTAATGTAATGGTTAAGTGTTTTATGAAATTAATTTAATATAAAATAATGTACCAGTAAGTTGAAAGTAAGAAGATTATTATAGTGTTGTATAGTTCTACTGTACAACAATTTGTATATTATTTTACTTGATGTTTAATTCACTGTTAAATATTTCTTATCTGTTGATTTATTTTATATTTTTAGACACTCGATTTGCGTTTTACTCCAGTAAGTGATCATGAACTTGTATGTTTTCAAAGATTAACAACTTTGAAAAACGTTCTTTTGGAAAGTCCTTCTTATATGAATCATGAAAGAGATGCAACAATTACTGATTTGGGTTTGGCAGGATTCTGTACTGCTACTTTTGAATTCCATTATCCATATATACAAATTTTGATTGATAGACGCGGTGGAGTGAACTTGAGAAGAGTTCATGAAAGGTAACTTAAATTAATAATAAATTATAAAATAAATATTTGAACATATAAGCTAATTTGAATTTTTTTATTTCAAGTTAATATATTTCTATATAATATATTTTTATTTATTATAAAAATCAAACTAAAAAAATTAAATTGTGTATACACTCATATTGGCAATGATTCATGATCTTGTTATTTTTAAACTAAAACTTTCAAAGTTATTTATCAACAACAAGTTACAAAAATATTTTGTTTTAATCATTAAGTAATTATTGTATTATATTATTACAAACAATTTTTAATGTTCTTGGTTTTACATCAAAAAAATGTATTTATTAGGTCATATACATTATACTGTAATAGTAAGTTTTTAAATTAAATATAACTAATTTATTCAATGGATTTGAATCAACTTGAAATGCTTGCTATGGTTTACAACTAATATAAATAGTTTATAATTATTATTAAGTATTAAATTAAATATATTACTATTAGATATTAATAATAAAAGGTTTATTATTTAATATATTGTATTTTTTTTTTATATAGGAATGGTAATGTTGATAGATGCAGCATTGAAACTTTATGTGTACGTAACTATCCCAAAGTAACTGATGCATTTTTGAAAACTGCTGTCAGAACTTGCCCATATCTGAAATCTTTAGATATAACTGGCTCATGTTGTACTTCAGAGGAAATTGAATATTATAAAGCAAACAGACCTAGTACAAAGGTAATATGCTAAAAAGACTGAGAAATTATATATATGTTGACATATAGGGTAATATATTGTTGTGTGAAGTAAGTTAAAAAGGGAAGTTAGATATGTTCAATCCTTATATATTTTGTGTTATATAAAACTCTTATAACTAATTCTACAGTATATTAATATTAATAAACTAGTTTAAAATTAAATTAATTTGTGAAGATAAATAATTTATTATTTATATTTGTTATCTTATTCCTTATAACTCATGAAAAGAGTTTAAACTTAAAACTAAATTAAAATTCAGAAAAATGTTTTTTTTATGTCTAAAAATATTATAGACAACTTTAAATAATTTTTATTCATAAAGATATACATTATTTCAAATTTAATGTTTTTATAGATTAATCTATTTGTATTTTAGTATAAGGTTAGTAATAACTTTGTATAAATTTTATATAGTTATTTATTATACCATATTAAACTGAATATTTGCATTTTATAATACACTAAATATCTTTCATTTAAATACTGCAAAAATGAATCTTAGTACTTAAATTATAATTTAAAACATTAATTATTATATATACAAATTGTACATAATATACTGCTATAAAAATAAGAAAACTGATACTTTTTCAATGAAATCTAGCTTTTTATACATTATTAAGATTAGTTTAAATATAAATTAGTGCTTTATTTGGGTACAAATTTACTCGGTCAAAAACTTCTTATATTCTAATGAAAAATTTATAGCTGTATATAATAAAACATTTATATCACTCAATTGTGTTATGTGTAGTTTGATATTTAATATTTATATATTATATATTGTGAAACAGTATTTGAAAAATAGTTAAATAATTTTCATATGATATTAACATTTTTATATATCAAATAGTTCTGGAACAATCAATACTCTACTTTGTGTTTGAAAATATTATGCATTTTCAGTGATTTTGATTTGGTACCTTATTCTTTTTTCAACAAGTTGAGCAAAATTAGTTTTTTTTTTATTTTAAATAAAACTTATTTAATATTTATGTATATATATATTTATTGAATATTTTTATTTTTATTTATGTTTTCTTAACTTTTTTATTATTTATAATGCATTGGTTAATGAATATTTATATATTAATATAGCTGTAAATGGAAAATTACCAAAAAAAAAAAAAAAAATAATAAGTTGTAGTAAACTTAATATTCTATGTTTGACAGTAAATATTTAATAGATTATCAAAAAAAAAATAATTATCATAAATCTTGTATATCATATTTATCTATTTATCATAATCAAACATCAATAATTTTTATATGGTCTGCTCTATTGTTTTTTAAGTTATAAAAAATATAATTTTTATGTAACACAAAATTCTTACTATGTTTGTACATTATAATTTTAATATTTTACAATTCATGATTAATGTCATTGAGTATAAATATAATATATTCCTATTTCGTATTTTATTTAATACTCCTATTATGTCTTCTTATGTGTTTTTTTAAATAATACTACTAAATTTGTTAACTGTATATAAGTTTAAATATGTTTTATTCAGATAATTTTAATAGTATTAACAACATTAGTGTTATAAATTGGAATAATTTAAATGCAGATGATAGAGGTGAATGATTAGTCCTTATAGAAATTAATTATTGTTTAAAATCTGTTAAAAATTATTTATAAATTTGATTAAAATACCTAATGTTTAAACAAATACTGAGAAAATAATGAAAATATCAGTTTATATTTAAACATTTTTATATAATTATTTTATGTTTATGTATTATTTATGTATTTAAAATATTTATGTTCTAAATTTAGCATAATATTGCAAGTATATAATATTATTTAAATTTTATAGCACATACTAATATAGTATGTTTAGAAAAGTGTTTGTAATATCTATTAGCAACATGAAATGTTAAGTTAAAATAAAGATTTATCCATTTAAAGAAAATTGTATAAGTAAACAGAACATTTTTAAAATAATTTTTCACTTGCATGTTTAACTGTTAGCTACATAATATAGACATTTTAGACTCTAATTTGAAACTATTTAAATTAGTTTTGTTTGTTTTCTTTAAGATTACATTGGATTCTTTATGCTTTGTAATTTTAAAATTAAATTGAAGGTTTTTTGATGATAAATGTTTTATTGTTTTATTAACCATCTACCCTTGATTTAAAAAATATCAGCTATAACTAGTGACGCATAGTCATGTTTTAAAACTAACATTTCTCATCAACCATCCACTCACAAAGTTAGTAAAGCATAAAAGTACAAATTAAAATTTAAGATGGTATGACAATTTTTTCCTGTTGAACAACATTTTAACAACTGTTATGCGCAATTAATATTGGTTATTTTAGACTTTAGGCAATGCTTAAGGCTTTTTCCATACTAATATGCTCCGTAGAGCTTTCATTTTTGTACTCTACTAGGTTGTTATTAATTTATTATTGTCTACGTTTATATAATACTTGAGCAAAATTTATCATATTCTGGCTCATGTATTTTAAATGTACAAAAACAAAAGCATCTTAGGATGATTATTATATAGGTTTATGGGCATAGTGCATAATGGTATGCATGCTATAGACAAGATATACTACTGATATCAATTATAATACACACTATACAGGCATACAATTAAAAAAAATGTCATTGGGGCAATGAAAAAATACATTAAATTACCTAATGTTAAAAATGATGAAAAGTACTTGATTATCTTTAGTTTGATTAGTATTTTTTTTTTGTTTTTAAAATAAATTATGTATTAGAGTCATAATTGTTGAACTGTTGAGTGATTTAGAAAATAATATTCTTGATTATATATTTTGTATAATTGTATGTAATATTTAGGATACAATACTTATAATTTATATACAGGCCCGTATTTACAAAAATTGTCGCGAGCGGCAACATACAATTTACCGCCCTCCCCACTCCCCCCTAAAAAAAAAGAAAAAAATATTTTAATTAATTGGTATTACACAATTGTAGTAGTAAATAGTTACATTCGAGTTGATAACGAATAAAAATTTTATTAGGTGCATTCAAAATCTATTTTGGTGTAATTATATTATTATAGTTATTTTTTTATTATACCAATTATATTATATTATTATATTTTATACTATATTTTTGTATTATTATATTTAATAGGTAAAATGAGTTACAAATACATTTTACATTTTTGACCATTTTACTAAAACTAATTTTAACATTACCGCCAGGGGTAATTAGTCCTCCCTTAAATACGGTCTAGCTTATTTAGTTATATGTCTACAGTCAGTACAGTCTACATTGTATATACGGTTGTTTTTTGTAATCCAATAGAGTACCTATAAGAACAACATTAAAAGTATCAAGACATGATTTAATTTCTTAATAAAAAATTAGGTTACTCAAGTCTAAAATTATTATTATTGGTAGACATAATGGGCATTGGTTGGTTCATATGCATGTATGACTGTATAAGTTTCTGTATGATGCAAGGAGGTATTGTGGTTTGAATATTTAAATTTGCTTACCTACAGATATGGTCGTATTATTTAAAATTATTTTTTTAAATTTGATATTCATTTATTGAGTGGGTGTTGATAAATGGTTAGTGCCGTTATTGGTCGTGTCCAAGTTTGGTGTAATTATTGGATAATTAAAATTTACCGCGCGCTAGGTTCAAAACGCGTTATGCTGATAAATGCAGCATAGTATTCTCAAAACACGCATTGTTGGAATTTAGATTATTGAATTTTGGCTAATTATAGTATAGCTGAGCTAAGTATAATAATTAACTAGATATGTGCGTTAACATCGTTCTACACGTGATATTTAAATTGCTTATTCCGTTTATAAATATTCTGTTGCTGTGATAGGTGTATTATATAATTTCTGTAATACAAGAGATCCAAAAACTTTTTACCAATTATTGTTCTCTAATAAAAATATGCTGGTTCTCAACTATCTAGTCAATATTTTTATTCTTGCGAATAAAAAAATCGTTATTGACTATTCTTAACATTCTTTATCTCTATCTTTGTAATTCGTGCTTCTATTATATAAATTATGTTAACTATTACTAAATAGATATTACCATTTCTTAGCGTTAAGATAATATTCAATTTATAATATGGGATTAACTTACTAACTTATTAATTTGAATAAAAAAAAAATAAATAATATACAAGGCGATTCAGCAAGCGTTATAATAAATTCATTATTAAATGAAAAATATGGTTGAGCATGCTTGGTTAATCATCCTGCATAATATATGTTATACGTAGGTACATAACTTTCACAACTCGTTCTTGGTGATCATCACAATTCATATGGAAAAAAACTGTTTTTCTTTTGTTGTAACTGAGTATAGGGGTATTTACGTCATGCTTAGTAATCACAAGGAATAAGTAAGTGATTTATCAGTAAACCTCGGTTAGAAAACTCCTTAACTTATTTAAGTAAGTACATATGTGTCTGCATGGTACTTATTTTGTCATTTTGATTATGTTCTTGGACAGCCGTATATGACAGTGCTCTAATACGATGGCATGGTATATTATGCCTTTTTCGATTTACTTTCGTTAAATAGTTAATGAGTAATATGGGTATATAATATTATAGCCTATAGGTAAGTATTGTCCACTAAAATTGTTCATTATTTTTTGAGATATAGATATGTATAAACCTATAGAAACGAGCCGGCACAATATTAAAAAAATAATTGTGTGCAGTTTATAGGTATTATATATACAACCACCCGCATAGTCTGAGATTGTTACCGTCATTAGTAAATCAGATAAACGGGAGCGAAAGTGACATTTTAATGATTAGGGTAGGGGAAAATGACGATTCGGTTGAAAGACCATAAATGTCTCAAAATTATCTCAGTGCAAGACCTCTCTTTAGTTCCCCGAGTCGCAGGAAAATGTATATTTATATCTTTGAACGTCGTCCTTAGTGTGGATAATGATCCGAGTTAACTGTTATTTGTGAATTTCTAATAAATTTCTCAACGTACCTAATTGTTTGTGATTACGTTTATTATTTATAGATACAAGAATTTTGGTCGGAAGGGTGATTATTACCAACAAACGATATTATTAACTTAAAGCCATTGTATTAACCTTAGAGACCTAATTAAAAATTAACGAATATTTTATGAAAAAATAGTAACAATCATAGTTTACTTAGTTGGCAAATTATTTGTATAATTTAACTCAGTTTTTTTTCACTTAAATAACGCAATAGTTGAAATATACCGATACACGAGTATCTTAATTATAGTAATTATTTCATGTC